GGGGAGGTAGGGCGATGGGTCTTTCACCCTCCCTATCTTCAGCGACAAAGGTAGCATTAATAAAACTGTAGAAAACTCTCTCTAGCACTCCCGGTCGCTCCCCCGCCCCCTCTCCCAGAAGCCTCACTCCCCCCTCAAGAGCCGCCCTGGATCCGTCTCTGACCGTGAAGGTATGCAACTCAAAATCGAACGAGTCTCGCATAACTGCGCCAAACGTACAGAGGCATCCTTGTGATATCAACAGGATCTTGAAATCATCGTCTCCACAAAAACTGTCCTATCAGTGGCTTTAAAATTCTTTTTCGTTCAAAAACCAGCGCTAACTTCATGAGCCATCGATGCGTCGTACGCATAAACCACTGATGTGTCGAACAAAGGGATGTGATGTTTCGCAAGAATAATCACACAATTCGCCACACGAGCTATAGCTGTCCGGATTTTCATTGGCACCACCTGTGAAAACGACGAAAAATTGAAACAAATGAAAACCACGAATAGGAACTAGTAATAAAAGTTTTAACAGTTGCGATTTTGAAACGTGGCGCACCAAGAAAATTTTAGCTTCTTAAAAAAATGCTCCATTTTTGAAAAATTTAATAATGTAGGGTATTATTTTGAGAACAAATGCACGCTAATGGATAAGTGCTTATAAAAACTTCAGATCAATAAATAATACGGACAAAAAAATTTTAGAAAAAAAAGCTACGCTGAAAACTCTTAGACGGTATGGTACCTCATCGTAGTCCAGAACAACGTACGGGGTGAGGGTGGTTGATCAACACATATGCCAAGAATACCACACAGTGGCTAAAGTTTTGCCAAATACTTCTGCTAGAAGAACTACAGAACTTATATTCCCTTCAAAAAACTAAACAAACATCAAAATCTTCGGAATGCAGTCGGGCTGTCCACCAAAAAGCGATGCAGCAATGGCTAAAACAACCAGAAAAGTTGCTAGCTGTCTAAAGGATGAATGAAATTATGAATTATGCCAACTGATCCAAATATTCCTAGAAGACCAATTTCTACATATTCCTCTTTACATGACTTTTCAACATGTCACACGGTTTGTGCCACATTAACAGCCCCATTGTCTTTCCCATCATAATTTATTAAACTAATTTCACCCTACGTTAAAATTTATGAACTATGGCCATTCCATATTTCCCACATTTCGGACTGTCCGTTTGCTTCAGAAATTACCGTTCGGTCTACCAAGGATAGCAAATTATTTGATCAATTTAACCTACTCTGGCCGTTCCAATTTTATTTCTTGGACCGTTCACCTACAATTTGGCCTTCTAACGGGCGCTATTTACCATCCCTGGGATCCTGATAAATTAGGAATTGCGCCAGCATTGCATTTACTCAATTCTCCAGAAGGACTAAGCTCATCGAAAAATCCCGCTCATGGCCACCTAAAGCTGTTTCAAACCCGCTTAAATACATTTCTTTTTATGCGTTTTTTGCAGCGATGCAATGCGAAAAACGCATATTGACGAGAGGTTGTCTGTGTGTCCGAGTGTCTATGTGTGCGTCTGTCACGCACTTTCATCTCAGGACCTATAAAAGCTGTGAAATTTCGGGAACTTAATCTACATGCATGTGCCGCCCCCAACCCCAAAATGGACGCCAGGACCCGCGTGGTACCCGCGTACGGGCCCGCCAAAGTTTTTTTGGAGTCAGTTCATAACTCGAGGATCTGAGAAGCCAGAACGCTGAAATCTTGGGATAATATTCCCCGCCCAACCGGGTATTAGTGGGCTCAAACCCAGCCCCCGAGTAAGCGTGGTACCCGCGTACGAC